TAATGAAATGTTTATTTAATTTTCTTTGACTGCTATATTTAGTCTTTAACAGTTTCACTATGATTTTCTTAGATGGAGTTCTTGTTTTTTTATTGCACTATTTATTATTTAAAAATACTAATAAAATTTATATATTTAAGAATTTGAGATTGCTTAAATATCCACGGCTCTAATGGGTTGACATGAACTGCTATATAAATTATGTTGGTACAAAATAAAAAATGAATAAAATATTTAGTAAAAAGTAGCATGACTATATCTACAAACATTTGAAATATATTTTTATAAAACCCTACAAATGCAATAGAGTTTTGTAAGTAGTGTGCTTGAGTAATGTTTTCTGGAAATGATTTTTGTCATGTGGAAGGCCTTTTTAAGCATAGAAGGGGTGTGGGGATATGGGGCACTGCCAGTGACACACAGACAACCAGCCCCAGATACACAAACAACTTTCCCAGATGGTTCAATGCTGGGGCCTGAGAATGAGGAGCTGCTTCAGCACCATGATGCTGGGCTGCCTGGGGCAGAAAATATTTTTAATGCCAATTGTATTGAGACGTAGCTCACGTTTTATAAAATTCTCCCATGAACAGTAAAGGTAAAGGTAAAGGCCCTTCCATTGTTCATCGATTTGCTCGAGCGGGCCCAGTAACGTCTCCATTGGAGATTTTGTTGTTACTGTGTTTGGCATATCGAATACATCACGGGTGGCTTGCCAGACTCTGCTGTGCAGGCAAGATAATCTTGGCAACTTGCCGGGCTCTCCGAGAGGGGCAGAGGAATCGAACTCGGGTCGGCCATGTTGGCTGTGTGCAAGGCAAACGCCCTACCGCTGTGCTATGGCTTCGTTATTGTTTCTTTTGTTTTTTGGTCCACACCCAGTGGTATTTGGGAGTGACTCCTGACTTGGTGATTAGAAGTCACCTCTTGAAGTACTTTGGGACCGTACAGCGCTGGGGATTGAATTAAGGTTCCTGCTGGCAAAGCAGGTGCTTCGTTTTTTGAACTATTGCCTGGTCTACAATTATATAGTTTTATGTGTATTTAGGGGCTGGAGCGATAGCACAGCGGGTAGGGCATTTGCCTTGCATGCAGCAGATATGGCCGACCCGAGTTCGATTCCTTCGCCCCTCTCAGAGAGCCCGGCAAGCTAACGAGAGTACCTCGCCCCCATGGCAAAACCTGGCAAGCTACCTGTAATGTATTTAATATGCCAAACACAGTAGCAAGTCTCACAATGTTACTGGGCCCGTTCGAGCAAATCGATGAACAATGGGAGGACAGTGACAGTGATGTGTATTCAGAATTATGTAACAAGCAGCCTGAAAAGAAATCCCATACTTATTAGCATTCCTTTCCCATTTTATCCAATACACCCAGTTCTAGACAAGCACCAATTAACTTCTTCTTCTATGAATTTGTCCATCCTGCTCATTTTGTGTAAATGGAATCATGCCTGGTGTTTTTGACTATTTTTCACTTTGAATATCATTTTCCAAAGTTCATCCATGTTGTAACATGTATCAATACTTTCACTGTATCACTGTCACAATCATCATCGTCATCCCATTGTTCATCAATTTGCTTAAGTGGGCACCAGTAATCTCTCCATTTGTCCCAACCCTGAGATTTTAGCAACCTCTCCTTACTCGTCTTTCCCAATGCTGCCATATTGGAGGCTCTTTCAGGGTCAGGGGAATGAGACCCGTTATTGTTACTGTTTTTGGCATATTGAATACACCAGGGGTAGCTTGCCAGGCTCTGCCAATACTTTATTTTGCCAAACAAACAAATAAACTGCCCTCCCGTTGTTCATCGATTTGCTCGAGCGGGCCCAGTAACGTCTCCATTGTGAGACTTCTTGTTACTGTGTTTGGCATATTGAATACTCTTGGTAGCTTGTCAGGCTCTCCAAGAGGGGTCAAGGAATCGAACCCAGCTCGGCCGGGCTGGCTGCGTGCAAGGCAAATGCCCTACCGCTGTGCTATCACTCTGTTCCACTTTATTTTAATTAAATATATAACAAACTTATGTAATAAATAATATATTTCAATAACAAAATATAGAATAATATTAATAAAACAAAACACATAATTTTAACATAATAAAAATAATAACATAATAAATAGATCCACACATTAAGTTTTTCAGAATAGATTCCCTAATAAGCAATTAGTGGAGGGATAATTTGCCCATTGTAATTTTATCTTTTGATTTGCCTTTAATGTTTCTTTCACTCTCTCAGGCTCTGATCTACTTGTATATGAATATATAGACATTTTTAAACATTTTTCATTTATAGCTTATTAGGAGTTTAATAAATCCAATGTGATACCTGCAATAAAATTCCCTGAGTACATTATTAAATAGAACAAAACTAATTATATCACTTCTATCCTTTCCATCAATATTTATATAATATAAATAAACCATAGTGTAACTGGAGATCTGAATCCCAATAATTGACTCTAATAGCCATCCTAATAATTCATTCTATGCCCTCAAGATAATACCATATTGTATTTCAGAAGGTGGATCTTAATTTCAAGAAAGATAAACAGGATTAATTTCAAGGGCCTGCAAGATTCAGTGTAGAACCAAAGCACTCAGTTTGATTATAGATTTGATAATTAATTAACATCTTAAGCCCCCAAAGTATTACCAAATTACTGTATAATTGGAGTAGACAATGAAATTGGCCATTAAAAAAATGGAACTTTGTGAACTAATCTAAGTATTTAACAGGGATGATTCCAAGTATTTAACAGGGATGTTGCCATGTTTGGTTGAGTTTGAGAGAATGTTTCTGATCATTTTGGTTTGAGGGATGCCCCTCGGTCTGGTAGTCAGGGTGATTGAACAGGTTTAATATGTTTTTTGGCAACCAGACAAAAGCTAGCTAGCTATGATTTGTTCCATAAATACCTTGGCCTTTTATTTTTCCTGGAAAGAAATGATTTCTCTTTCTATCAAATACCTGGTGGCAACACATATCATATTTTTCATATAGTTGAGTCTGAATTGTGTCATTTTTTTTCTCGGGCTCAAAGGATTAAGATGTAATATCAGGGCAAAAACCATTTGTGTATCTCCAGGGATCCTTATTTCAGTTGATTAGGAACAGTTTTAAAAACCAGGGAAAAACTAGGCTTTCAATTATGAGTCCATACCAAAATTATATTTTAAGGATCAACATTTTAACTTACTCTACTTAACAGTGTTGTTCTGGAAGAACAGATCCACTCAATTGAATTGGGGGGAATTTAAGAAGGAAGGGCTTTGGGGTCCTTCGGGGGAATAGAAGAAGGAAGGGCTTTGGGGGTCCAGGTGGTACACTGGTGGTAGGTGTGGTGGTATGGTGTTGAAATTATGTATTTGAGAAATCATTATTACTAGCATTGTAAAACAAGAAATCTCAATAAAACTTATTTTTTTTTAAAAGTCCTCATAGTAATTACTCCTACAGCATAAACCTTTCATAGAGGACTGGTGAGCAATTGTTATTCATTCTTCATTTTGAGCTAGAATTTAGTAAGGAATACCAAAGATACTAATGACAGTGTTTACTAGAGAAGCATGCAGCAAATAAAATTGGGCATTTGCATTAAAAATTGAGGAATGAGCAAAATACTCTCCTGCTTGTATAGTACTAAGAGCCTTGATGTGAGAAAGTAAGAAAAAAAGATGTAAGTAATTCAATTCGGACTATTTTGGGTGCCGAACCAGTAGTGTAAATGAATGGTGTCTGTTTTAGCCTATAATTAGCATCCACGACCCCCTGTTTTTATTACTTATTTATTTTGGACCACACCTTGCAAGTGCTTAGGGCTTACTCCTTGGCACCGTGCTCATGGGTTTGTACTCAATGCCAGAGATGGAGGTGGAGTCTAAGATGAACAAGGCAAGAATCTACCCACCTGTACTATCTCTCTGACCCACAACCATCCTTTTTAAACCAGAAACGATTTTGTTTATTTATTTATTTTGTGATTCTGGCGAGGCACACCCAGCGGTGCTCAGGACTTACTCCTGTGTGCTCAGAGATCACTTCTGGCGGTACTCGGGTGACCATATGGGGTGCTGGTGACAGAAATGACACCACCTAACAGACCTGGTAGTGAATTTCTGGATTTGGTGTTCCTTTCCCTATGCAATCCTCACAACTCTTACTGCGGAGCAGAGATTATTAGTATTATTACCATTCTTCAGGGGAAAGTTGAAAAGGCTAAGGCCTGACCAAGACTAACTAGCTGCTGGGGCCCAAGCGGCACATTTTGACACCTGGCAGGTCATCTGTTTGCCCTCAGCTGAGTTTAAACAGAGCAGTGAGGTGGGGAAAATGCCAGGCTCACCCTGCCAGGCCTTGCTTGGGCTTCGGACGGCAGCAGTGGCACCCGTAAAAGAAGGCCTTTTTAAACATTCATTCATTCATTTTTTTTTTTTTTTTACCACCGGATGATCTGCTGGGGTCGAGCGAGCCCCACGCTGCGGGCCAGGAGTCCAGAGTCCTTCTCAGACCCAGTGCGGCGGGAGGAAGCCTGGGCCACGCCCGCCTTCGCTCTCTAGGACCTCAACTCCCCCAGCAGCCGTCGGGATCTGCTTTCCAAGGTGCAAAAAACCCTAAGCCACCTGCGGGTCCATAGATTTCCCACCCCGCCCGCAGCGCCCACCGTGGGAGAACCGGGGAAGAAGCTGGATGCTATCGATTGCCCATCAGGTCCGGCGGTGCGTCGGCAGCTGGTGGGGGGACGTAGCGTGCACAGTGAGGTTCCCACAGACGCCCCCGACTCCCCCCACCCAAGCCCATTTGCTACCGTCGGGGCGGTTGTCTGTGTGCCCCGGGGTGCGGGGAGAGCAGGGGTGGAAGCGGAGAAAGGGGTGCGCTGGAGCGCTCGCACCCGGGCGCCTCCCGCGCGTGGTCTCTGCGGAGGACCCCGAGGGGCAGGGGTGCCCGCAGACCCACCCAGCCCCCCCCAGCACCCCGGGCACCGCCCCCGCTGGCCGTTCGGTCCCCGCCCCACCCGACGGCCCGCCCCGCAGGTGAAGCAGCCGCCGAGGAGGTGCGTGAAGATGATCTCATTCGCGCGCTCCGCGCCGGGAGGTGCAGCAGCAGCAGCAGCAGCAGGAGGAGGAGGAGGAGGAGGAGGAGGAAGAGGTGGAGGAGGAGGAGCGGGAGCAGATCCCACTTCCGGGTAGTGCAGCCACACGCCACCGGCGTCTTGCTTCTTCTTCTCCCCCCTCCCCCCCGGTGCACCCCGCGTCTCTCCCTCCTTCCCTTTTCTTCCCGGCCCCACCTGCCAAGATGAACAGCTCGGACGAGGAGAAGCAGCTGCAGCTCATCACCAGCCTGAAGGAGCAAGGTGGGCGCGCGCGGGCGGCAGGTGCGGGCAGCGGGGGGCGGGGACGGCTCCCGGGTGCGGGGCCTGCGGCTGGGCGGGAGGTGCCCCGACCGACCCGGGGACCCCTGTGAGCACCGTCCCCCACCCCCCGCAGAGAAGCGCCCTCTCCACCCCGCGGGTCGTGGGCGATCCCGGGAATCGGACCCAGCGTTGCGGGCGGCGCTGCCCACCGGGCGATCGGAGGCGGGGAGTGGACAGTCGGGGTGGGCGAGGCCCCGCGGCTCGGGAGAGGCGGGTGGGCAGCGGGCCGCGAGCGGGCGTGGGGGCTGCCCGGGGGCCGGCCTGGCCCGCCAACCTCCTCGGCCCCACCCTTGCGTGCACGTTGGCACTCACGGGCCTGCCTGCGGCGCTGCCTGGGCGCCTTTCCCAGCTTTTCATTCCGGTTTGGTCTAGTTTTCTTTCCTTACCCAGCTAGGATTTTTTTTTTTTTTTTTGCCAGGCCACGGAGGTATGGTTGGTGTTCTCACTTCCCATTTTTTAAAGCCATTTATTAGTCAGTGTGTCAACACCCCTGCCAGCCTGCGGGCTTGCCGAATTAAGACTTGGCTTGGGTCCCCGGGAAAAACCAGGCCACGCACACGCCCTTCTGCACTGCCTGGTAACTGGAGCTCACTGCTGCAATCCTCCTCACGCTCCACACTCAAGGACAAAGCCAAAATGATGCTCAGACGTGGGCCTGCCCGTTGTCAAATCTTAAGTGGTGATTATTACCTTGACCCAGGGCGGTTTGGGAAGATGCACCCAGGCAGAGAGGAACCGTTCGGATTTAGGAAGTCAAAAAAAAAAAAATGAGCATGTGCTTTTTCGGTCTAACTTGCTGACCTGGCCACGCAGAGGAAGGGGCCCGGCGCTGGGTCTCATCTTGGTGTTCAGTTTCTGCGCTTTCACTTCTCTTGGCCCAACTCACCAACTCTGTGAACTTGGAGGAACCTTTCCCTTAGGTCTTGTGAAAAACGAAGTCTTCTTTTCCCTGCCCCTCGGCGGGAGTGAAACATGCTGATTTCCTCAGGTGTTGACCAGTCCTCTGACCTGTTGGCCCTTGAAACTTCATCCATACCATTGGTTAGGGTGTGGGCATGCCTCTGGACAAACTCTGGGAGCACGTTTCAGGACTGTTGACTCCCTGTGCCCATGGGGAAATTGAGGAAGACCCAGTGCATTCCTCTTCGGTATCTAGTATCTAGGAATTGTTGGATAAATATACTAGTGACTTTTGCCTTCCAGTAGTTTAAAATCCTATTCTAGATTAGTCTAGAGTCACAAACTTTGAATATAGGACAAGGGTAAAATGCCTGCATGTGGATGGAGTTTCTCAACTATTTTATTGAGGGACTAGATCCTATTGGCGCTGTAGTTTTAATAAGAATGTGAGAACTCAATTTATATTCTAGAGTGTTGGGGATTTTATTATTAGTAATATCTGTCATGGACAACAGATTTTTGGGTGGATGGTCAGTTTTCAAGTAATGGTAAGATTTGAAAATGACTTTATTCTATATAATTTCAAGAGTAGGTTAAGAATGTGGAAAGACCATACATTATTTGTTTAATTTTGGAACTCAGTTTTTGTTTGTTTTGGATTTGAGAGTTGAGGAAAGAAGGATTTTTTGTTTGTTTGGGGGCCACAACTGGTGGTGCTCAGGGGCTACTTTGTGTCCAGGGGGTAATTCTTAGAGGTGCTCTGGGGCCATATATGCTGCTAGGAGTGAACCACAGTCGATTATATGCAAGGCAAGTGTCTTAACCCCAATATTTTTGCCAACTCCCTAAGGGAGGATTCTTAAAGAAACTTTCCCGTATTGCAAAACAAGTCCATGGATGATATATTTCCTTGATTGTATCTTAAAGTTCATAAAACATACTGTCAAATTTGGGTTTTTGAAAAGGTATATTTCTAATTTTAAAGGATATTTAGTTCGGCTCAATAGGTGTTGGGGTTTAATTTTTTTTTTTTTAACTCACAGTAGTATAGTTTTTATGTATCTCAAATCCAGGGTGTATATTTGTCATTGGATCATAGACTGATCACATATGACTTATTTCAAGAATATTGTATTTTGGCACTAACTGGGAGGCTTGGGATTTGAGCATGGTATAATGGGTCTTTACTGACATCGGAGTCAATTTTGTAAGCTGACAGTATCTATGATTCATTTTTGAAAATAAACAGTTTTTTTTACTGCCTATTAACACTTAAATGGTTTCATTATTTAATGAAATTTAATGTGAATCAGAATTTGACTTAAATACTCTTTACCTTTTTCAATTTAAATTTTTTAAATTAAATTAAATTTTTATTATTATTCCATGATTAAAAAAGTTATAGTTGAGTTTTAGGCTTACAATGTTCAAGCATCAGTCCCACCATCAATGTCAACTTCTTTCCTCTATGCCCCCAGATATGCCCTTCCATTCTATCCTCATCCCTACCCCACCAGCGTGCGTGGCCTCCCCCCTCCCCGCACCACCCCCCCACGCGCACGCACAACCTGTCTTCTTAACCAGCACATTTTTGACTTTGGTTATTCTAGTTAACTTTTTTTTTAAATAAATGATGAGTAAATGTTCATCCATTCTTTAACAAATTCTTAGAGTATCTACTGTGTATAAAACCCATATGCTGGGATATAAATGGATATAAATAGTGAACCTAGATAGACAGTTCTTGTTCTTATTAGTTTATAGTCTTGAAGAACAGATGCCATTATTAAAATAATTACATACAGAACTTTGTACAATTTCAGGTCTTAGAAATGCAATCGTTGAGAGGCATATCCCAGTAACTTTTCCAGTTCACATTCCTTCATGCAGTACCTCACTTCCCTGTATATTAGCCAATAGTAGTCTTCACAAATTTTGACAGCCTAATAAGTTTCTTTTTTCTTTTTTTTTGCTTTTTGGGTCACATCCAGAAATACACAGGGGTTACTCCTGGCTCTGCACTCAGGAATTACTCCTGGTGATGCTCAGGGGACCATATAGGATGCTGGGAATCAAACCCGGGTCAGCCGCGTGCAAGGCAAATGCCCTACCCGCTGTGCTATCGCTCTGGCCCCTAATAAGTTTCTTAATTTTTATCAATCCAATGAACAAAATGGCACGTGATTTTTTTAAATTATTGGTTATTTAGAAGATCATTTATGCTTTTACGCAGCTACTGATCGTTTAGGCTTTATGGTTCTTACCTTAGGGAGTTTCCAGTCTAATATCTGACCCCAGTCCCTAGGAGGGTGCTCTGAAAGAAGCTTTCTTATCCACTCAGTGGAAAACTGACGACAGCCTCCCTTAATGTGAAGCCATCAGTGGTGTGGTGAATAAGGTTGCTTTTGACAAAAGTTGTGAAATGTAATGACGGAGTCTGTCATAATATGAACAATCTCTAATTTATACTTACCATTCCCTAAGCTCTATGTCTTATAAATCCCACCCACTTCTGAATTACTTCAAAACATTGTATGTTCCCTTCTAGTGAATGGTATAATTAGCTATATTATGTCTTTCTAGAAAGTTATATTATTGTCCCTTTAAAAAAAATTAGCCAGTGTGTGATTGCTTATGTTCAAGCAGATGTTGAGGTAATGAGGTAATTCTCCTTTTGTCTTTTTGGGGCCTTTATTTTATTGGACTGATTGACATCTTTAATGCTTAGAGAAATGGCAACTTGGGATACTATTTCCGATGCATATTTCTAGCTACTAAAGTGGACATTTCCCTTACAAAACATCATACAATTTGCTCTTGCTCCAGAATTCTACTAGAAAATGATAGACTTAGTTCAGCATTTGTTTAAGGTACATGATTTTCTTTGTAATTCTTTCGACCCACAAGTGTTGAATATTCATAGCCAGGCACTGTGCTAGGCATTGGAGATAAAGAGATAAATAAAATCTTGTTCCTGCTGGCTAGGAGTTCCTAGTCTAAAGATAGCATGGGCACATGAATTCCAGGAAGACTGTCTGATTTGGTTAAATTTGGATCTTATGCTAAACCCTTTGACCAGGGCTTAAGGCCAGGGAAGGGCAGGGAAAACTTTGACTAGTGGCCCTCACTGTCCAATAGATTAGAGCAGTCATCTGAAAATTCATGGTAGTGTGAAGGAAATCAGGCTGGGTAGAGAGAAACAACAGGTTCCCATTAACCTACTCTGCACCTGTCCTTTGAAGTTTGCTGCGGAACTTTCAGAGAGAGTGATTGATTGCCACTGCCACCTTATGATAAGGATGTTATCATCAGATAAGATCCTTAGGATAAGGATATTCTAATATCAGATCAAGACAACAAATAAATAAGCAGACTCAAAGTTGTGACTTCTTTCTGGGCTTAATGCCATTTAATATTGATATCCTGGGGTGTGGTAATAGGATTTAGAACCAGATGCCTTTCTTTGGTCTTTAGAGCTAGTTTTGCTGACATTGTGCTGAAGGTTCCTTTCACCTGGAGAGATGGCTGCACTTCTTAGCACTGAGTCAGCCCTTTATAAAGGGTTTTGGTGTTCCTTGCTTTCAAGACTAGAAAATCACTAGAGCAGTATTTTGGCAAAGGGGACCCCAAAAGAACCCCAATAACCTTGCCTATCACAATTGATTATTAGTCAAGAACAGCTGAGGCATTGTTCATTTTATATCCATGTGAAGTCTGTCTGAAGTAAGTGGTTGCCTTGGTGTCAATTGCAACCTTGTCTTTACAGCACTATTTGGTCATATGTGTGGCTGGAGGGTACATAGATACCTGTAGATTCATAAGTTAATGAAAACATCTCCCAGCCTAAAGTATTTTGCCTCTGTTGAAAAAAATGTACACAAAGCATAAATGAATGTCGCAGTGAGATTTTTTAAGAACCTATGGGGTTTGACATGTCTCCACCATTACATTGTTGGAATGTTGGAATTTTTATGTAAAAACTACAGAATAGTTTCACTGCTTCTAAAGTTCCCTCTCTCTTACTTCTTTGCTCCCTCTTT